ACATTCCAGACAAAGCAGTAACATCTCCAGAAAAGTTACACAATGCACCTTTAAATGAACCTTGGGCTGAAGGAAATGGATCTAAAATTTAAAATTCCATAAACACGAAATTACTGTGTCCGACGAGGTAAACATGTTTTCAGTAAAATAGCTTTTACTGATAACAATGGTTATTGTCAATTACAAAATCAGGAAGTTGTTTATGTCATAATTTGATGTTTTGGTTCTCAAGGTAATTATCCAATCAAAGCAAAATGAGCCCCACTCGAGTCTCTCATTTGGGTTGCCAGTTTAAAGGCTGAAATCCAGTTGGTTCAGTGCTAATGCAGCCTCTGCAGCTTTCACATGAGGCACGGTCATACACTTGAGTCAATCATATTAGGGATGGGCATGATTAGTCGACTAATCGATAATTGATCATTAAGAATTTAGTTGATTACGTTCATTTTTGATTGACAAACCGAATGTAGGTTGCTGTGCACAGCGTAAGGAGACAAGGCTGCGTGTGACAGCACAAACACTGGAGTTGTGGCCTCACAGTCTCATGTATGGGCTCTGGCTCCTCCTTGGAGATCACTGTACCACTCAGTGAATTCGTTTACATGTACATCGTTATCCCGGTTTCATATATTCATATATTTCATATATTCCACTTGTGTCCTTTAGTCTGACAGAAGCTGAACAGCATCAATGCACAAGAGCTGTGTTTTTTTTTTCTTCTTGCTTAGTTTATGCAAATGGTCCATGTGGTTTTAAGTTTTGTTTTTGTAAAACATAAACAAATGTGTCAAAGCTGCATTAAACACATTATAATGTCGAAGGGACTGATGTGGCTCTATAGTTGTATTGGTTTATATGTTATAATGTTGAGTTTATTCACGCAGATTAGTAATAGTAATAATATTGATGATACTTTTAATACAAAAACGTTAATAAAAAAATTTAAATCGATCTTTAATTCTCCCGATGAGCGATTAAAAAAAAAAAAAAAAAAAGATCAAATGCCCATCCCTAAATCATATTGATACTTGAATGAGAAAAACGTGTACGTGTACTCATGTTTGGGCACTCACTTTTGAGGCTACATAATATACTATAATGCAAAATCAACTTTTCAAAGCTTGTAATCATGTTATCGCTGTTCCCCCTCCTCATTTACCCTCTCCAAGTTGCATTTGCAGTGATTCATGATGTTTGAGTAATCTTTAATCGCTTACAAGATGCAACACTGCAGATCAACCCCCGTTTTCAAAGCCACTGGTATACGCTCACTGCTCTGTACTCACTTCTTTCTACAATTTTATATTCTTAATTAGTGACAAGCGTAAAATTTGGCTGCGTGGTGTAGTAATTTTTCTACAAATAAAAAAAAATCTACTACTCGCTTGTGTGATTTGCAGCTATTCCATTGGAGGGGCAGACAACTTCACAGCTCTTTATTTTAATGATGTTTTCTAAAGCAGAATTCAGTAGACATCTTTCTTTTATTTAAATGGTTTTAGATGAATATTGTGATGTAAAATGTGAGATAAGGATCCACGGGTGTCACAGATTATAGCTACATACTGGATATAGCAGGCTTAAGTGGAGTAGGTCTTCTTTAAGTGATACTAACATGTCTGAGATAATAATAGAAGTTATTTGTGAAATCTCTTCAGTTGTTTAGAGTGCATATTCTGGACATGACCTGTTTTTACCTGTCCAAAAGTAGCATTTTTGTGTCCTCCTCTGACTCCCACTCCCACCCCGTCCCCCACTGTGACGGTATTATTCGCACTTAAGCTGCTCTGACAGCGCCCAGGAGCCAGAAAATCCTGTCCGACCGGATGGAACCATGCACCAGCTCGAGGAGAATCAAGGGAATCCAAAGTTTCACCCCAAATTTAAAATAACCACAGCCCCCACGCGTTTCCTGTGTTTTAGAAGGATAAGGGTTTGTTCTGAAAATTGGCTGTTCTTAGAATTGTCTTGTTGGCTTTGTTCAAATGCTTTTAAGATGCTCTCACTTTTCTGGTCTGTTGTCTGGTCTGGTGGAGGGTCTGCATGCTTTTCTCCATGGAGATGTGAATGCTATGCCCAGAATGTTCAGTATTGCATTAAACTTATCTCACTTGGACACAAGCAGGTTACACGACTAGGACAAGTTACAAGTAAATTACACGGAGAGGCAGGCACACTCTGAGTAGTATTGTTTTATACGTGTATCAGTCAAGACAAGTTTAATACCATACTGTGGAACATTCCAAACTCCAAGCAAAGCAACATCTCCAGCAGTTGGTGAAAGTTATCTTGAAAAGTTACATAGCGTACCTTCTAAATGTCTTGTTTTCTGTCAGGGCATAAGCTTTATTTAAAGAGCCCATATTACACTATCTTCTGATCTATGTTATAATGTTGTTTCTTCATTAAAAACGTACCTGGAGTTGTGTTTTGTTTCATTCACTGCATATTTAGGCAAAGTTCTTCTCTCAAACAGATAACACACCACCTTGTGATGTCATGTGGTAACACATCAAGTACTCCACGGTGTTTTTAAACTCCATACACCTTCACAAGAATCATTTGGATAATTTTATTGCTGAGATTGCCAATGTCAACTGAACAAAGGTAAAAGACAGCTGTTAACTTGAAAACCACCACAACATGACATCACAAGGTGGAACAGAGCATTTTGAGCTTTGTAGATGTACACATACTAATAATAAAGGGTTACTCAAACATGTAAATGAAACAAAACACAACTCCAGGTGTGTTTTTGATGCGTTAAAAATATTATAACACAGGGGTGTCAAACTCAATCTAACAGAGGCCAAAATTAAAAACTGGGGCTAAGTAATGGGACAAACTAAATATTTATTGAAAAATTTCAACAACATCTGCATGTTTTCTCTTCTTTCGAGCTATGTAATGTTAAACCTTTTCTTATTAAAATAAATGTTAAATAATAGTTTAGCTTAAACACTGAATCCAAAACAAGCATAATATAAAATAATAACAACATTTTAAATAAATAATGTCTCTATAATGTATCTGAAGCCAGTGGGCAGCTCTAATACATATTTGATATGATCTCGCGGGCCAAATATAATTATATCACGGGCCAAGTTTGACATGCCTGTTATAACATGACTAAAAGCTCACAAGAGTCAATTTGGTGTATTATAGAACCTTTAACAGGATAGTATATTATAAAATGGGGGTGAAGAGCAGGGAGGACATTCACATTATTAATTTATGTTTTATACAGGAAGAAATATAGACACACAGTTCAAATCAGGCTGTAAATTGAGGGTAAAAATCAATAACGTGTCAACTCTTAAAAGTCAATAATACATCAGCAGTCAACCTTGAAACCCTAACCTTCTGGTGTCTACATGATCTTGTGCTTAGATCTTCAGGTTGCACTCATGAATGTAACCTTGAAATTATTTGCATTTTTCTCTATACGATTATAATAAAATATGTGCAAGTAATTAATGAAGCAAAGAGAATAAATTCCATGTTTTATAATGTTTTTCTATTCATGAAATTTAATAACACATGGTAAATTTTACACATTATAGGCAGAAAGTATATTAAATAAAATTGTTAGACTAAATGTTTTTGTTTCTCAGAGTGACCAACCACATTGACCGTAGACTGTATATTCATGGATTTCAGACAATTTTTTCCAGATTTGAAGGACTCTGTGAGGACCCATAGATGACCTTTCTCCATTCAAAACATATAATATTTAGATCTGAATTCCTTAATTGCTATGAAGACGAAGGACGGTTGCCATATTTTGAAATCCATAAATAGAAGTTGGCTGAGGGAGTTGCAGCCAGGCTAACAGTTATATTTGGTCGTCCAAGTGAACCCAGCAACAGTGCTCAATAGTTGTCAACCAAACTTGTTGCTGAAACTAGCAGGAGCCGACCTCGGGGAAAAAAGGCACCTGATTGGTCTGTTATTAATGTTCATATATAGAGCGGGTTAAAATCATAGACGGTATAAAAAGGTGGACTAAGGGAGTGTGATGTAACTCATAGCTGACAGTTATAAGGCGAATTTGGAGTTGAGTACCATTTTAGGAAAAAAAAAAGGATTTACGGAAAAAATAACATTAAAAACACAAGGATCATGAGTTAATACAAACATTTTAACAGCACTTACAGAAAGAGAGGCGACGTTTTTCAATACAAACGGAATAGGAACCGGAATCATTGGAACCAGAAGCGCACCGATGCGTTCAACTATGCATCCGACTTGGAGGTCCGAGGACGTTGCCTAGTGACACACCCCTTTTCCTCAGATTGCGGAACTCAGAAAAACTTAGAGGAGCTCGAGCACAAAGACTTGTTTTAAACAGATGTTGCTAAACGTCCCTAGGGTTGCTAACAGAAGATAAACAACAATAATAGCTTTCCGGGTGGTGTTGATGTTTTTCTCCAAGTCGGACACACGGAACATAATAAAACGCTTGAAGTGTGGACGTGGCATCATATTCGAGATCTGAGTGGGGAGATGGATGGATAATCGAACGCGAGCGGGTTAACTATGTCCATTTATATATATACAGTCAATGGTTAAAATGGACAAGACCAAAATGAGGAGCCTGACAGCAGCAATTACAGACAGAGGGATGATGATTTTTCAGTAGAAGTCACATGGGAGTTGGATGGAACTAGTTTGCACCCATGCACACTTACTACTACCTACTTGGAATGCAGTGGCAGGCAGGTTAGCTATGTTCATTTATACACAGTCTATGTCATTGAAACAACATTGAAACATTACATTTTACATATTTAAGCCACAACTTCCCTCTTCTCGGTGGGTAACTTTCAATCAGCTTTTGTTGTTTGATGACATCTGCTCTCAATAGCTTAACATCTGTTTTCACAATCACAATCTCATCAACTCTCCCATTTGGAAGCCAGTAAAGCGAAAAGGCATGCATGGTTGTACCACACTTGTAACATGTCATACTTTGATACGATTCTTTTTGAGTGGATTACCTGGGACCGAGCTCTCTCTCTCATCTTCCTCTCCCTCCTGTCCTGCACGGTGGAGAGATAATTGACTGCGGCGTACTCCAAGACGGACAGAAAGACAAAAACGAAGCTGACCCACAAGTATATGTCCACCGCTTTGATATAGGACACTCTGGGCATAGATGCGTTGACTCCAGTGATGATAGTGGACATGGTCAGGACCGTGGTGATGCCTGGACACAAAGAAGAATTAAGCTTTAAATATGACGCAATACAGTGCAAAAAAGGGCCCCCAGCTATACACACCAGGAGCCCACCAGCAGGGGGCAAAGCATTCAAGTCAAACCCGGATCAATTGTTTCTGAGGCCGTAGCAGTTAAATGAGAATTTGTGACGCAATGTGAAATGGTTTCTTTAAACATGTTCCTTTGTAATTTCCTCTCATGATGTCACTGTTAAAAATTGAAGTTTCTGTCCAATTACAATGCATAGAGAATTGTCCTTGGAGAGGCTTTGTGGTGGGGAGTCGTCGAGGATCAAGAGGTATACTGACAGAAATACAAACTCCAGCCATGAGAGGGCAGCATACTGACAACTGCACAGGTCCTTTATCTAATGTTTTATGGACATACCCCTTAAGTACAAGATCCATTGGAAAAGGCATGTTCAATAGAGTTTACTCATTAACACTACCAATATAAGGAAAACCTTTTTGTAACGACTGAGGTTTTGAATTGACCACTTTCTGGGGTCATAAAAAAGCAACTGTCTTAAAGTTGTACTATGTAACTTTTTCTGGTGAACCACCTGCTTTTCTCTGGAGATTGTATGTTCCAAACTATGGCATTAACCCTTCCAGATGTAAGAGGAATTTTAGTACATTTGTCTTCGTCTGGATTTTGTTTCTTAATTTTGCTATTAAAACTCCCCCTTTTAACCCCTAATGAAGTGGTGCACATCTGTTTTTAAGTACAACTTGTTATTTCACAATCTGCTGCTGTAATTGTGTCATATGGCTGTAATAAAAGCTATAGGATCAGAAATACAAAAAAAGAGAAAATAAAATTCACATTATTTCATACAAAACACAGAGCAAACATGTATAAACAAGTTTTTGGACATAAAAAAAAGTTTAATTTAGGGCATTAGCTACAAAAGTGCAAAATTTCAAGTTTGTAAGTAAACTAAAAAAAAAGTGCAATCGCCCCATTACTTTCCTGGTGCCAGTCATGAAAACAGCTCGTGTCAGATCCAGGGCACAGAGCCACATCACTTCCTACATTTCCTTGGTGTATATTACATTTGTATTTGTACATTTTGATTGAAATAAAATAAATTAATCTTTCAAATAAAAATAGCAAGAGATGCACAATTACACAGACCAAGATGCGTAATTTGCCATTTATTTGAGAAATAACTCCACTTACAGTGGCTTTTTCAATTGTTACAAACACAGACACACAGAGCAGTTGACCATCTTGACTCACCACACTCTTTGACAAAGTTTGGCCCAAAATTGGATAGACAAAGTTCCTACTGGACACTTGTTTTCCCTACGTCATCACGCAGTGTACGTGTGGAGGATAATGCCGAAAACATGCTTGGAAAGCCACAGCACAGCTTTTCAAGGGGAAAAAAGTAAGTTTCTATCTTTTATGGTTGGAAAGTTATGCGTGATGCGTGATTATATAAAACATTTTCTCAAGAATATGTTTTAGAATATGTCCGGAAGGCTCAAACTTCTTACATTGTTTTTACATATCTTACATTTACTCAGTGTTTGAGTTTGAGACTACAAGTCAAAAAATTTTTGCCACTACCTATCAGCAAAGCAAAGGGTGGCTACTTTGAGAAATTTAAATACAAAATATACAAAAAAAAAAAAAAAAAGAAAAAAGAAAAAAAGTTGAGTTATTTACCTTTTGCCCCCTTTCCTACATAACTGCATACATCGTGCAGCATATATTTAAAGTCTTATGTGTGTATGCAAAATGTAGATATAGTCAACTTAAAGAAAGAAAACACTGAATGAGAAGTTGTATCTAAATTTTGACTGGTAGTGTTTATTGTTTATTGCAAAATCATGCCCTGACTCTGTGCGGGGTCGCCTCTGCTCAGATCTGACCTGTAACTTTGCCTGGTGCCGTCACATGCTTGTCTCCATGTAGACAAATCACTGAAAAGCAACAAAAACTCCAATAGAAACACTCAGATGACGAAACTCCATCACCAGAAAAGTGACTTAGTGCACCTTTAATGGCATTAGTGTACTATTTACCCCTAAACGAGCAGATCTCTGGTTCAGTTTTGTGTTGTTCTTATGGGATTTAAAGCCTTGATGGTGTTTCAGGCTGCAGCGAGAGCCTAAAGCCAGTCACAGCAGGGGCCCAGCCATCTGAGTCACAGGCAGCCAACTGTTTCAAATAAGGATCTGTGACGCCATCCAAAACGTTTTATAATTCCTCCTTTTATGTTAACTTATGTAATTCCATTGTCCTAACAACAAAGCAGCCATAATTTCAGACCAAATTGACAGTAACTCTTCGGGACTGCTGTAAAATAAAAAGCCAATTTGAATGCAAATCCGAAATCCATTCTGAAATCCCAAAGCCAAAAGTGTGTAAGTCTTTGTACCATTTGACACGACTGCAGCTCCCAGGCCTTTCCGCGCTGTGAATCTTCTTAAAAACAAACAGGACAGAGGGAGTGAATTTGAGGGGAACTATTTGTACTGGTGGATTATTTTGATGTGTTATTTTCAAGTAATTGGGAAAGAGGCCAGAGCAGAGCTGTGTGGTAATGATGAAACTGTCACCTGGACTCTACAGGAATGAAGGATGCATTTAAGAAACTACCACTACTACTACTACTACTACTACTACTACTACTACTACTACTGCTACTACTGCTACTACTACTATGGAACAGCAACAACTACTACTGCTACTACTACTACTACTATTACTAATACTACTATGGAACAACAACAACTACTATTGCTACTACTGCTACTACTACTACTACTACAACTACTACTGCTGCTACTACTGCTACTACTACTACAGAACAAGGGCTGCTGCTGCTACTGCCACTACTACTACTATGAAACAACAACTACAACTACTACAACAACTACTACTAATGCTACTGCTATTACTACAGAACAAGTACTGCTTCTACTACTGATACGAAACTACTACTACAACTACAGACCAACAACTACTACTACTACTACTACTACTACTACTGCTGCTGCTGCTGCTGCTGCTGCTGCTGCTACTGCTACTACTACTACTACTACTACTACTACTACTACTACTACTACTACTACTACAGAACAAGTACTGCTACAGGTACTGCTACTACTACTACTACTACGAAACTAGTACTACTATAGAACGACTACTAAAATAAAACAAGTACTGCTGCTGCTACTACTAGGAAACTACTATTACTACTAGTACTACTGCTACTCCTACTGCTACTACTACTACAAAACTACAACTACTACTACTTTGAAATTACTACTACTGCTGCTGCTGCTGCTACTACTTCTACTGCTACTACAAAATTACTACGACAGAACTACTACTACTGCTGTTGCTACTGCTACCAATACTGCTACTACTACTACGAAACTACAACTACTATAACAAAACTGCTACTACTACTACTGCTACTACTACTACCGCTGTTATTACTACTATCACTTCTACTACTATAACTGCTACTACTACAGCTTATTCCATGCCATTCTAAGATAGCCCCCTGAAGTTAAAGTTGTGAGAGCTGCAGTGAAAAACTGTCACTTTGATGTTGAACCGTGACAGCCAAATGGTTTGGGATAGTCAAAAAAAGTAGTTTCCACATGCTTCATATGATGGTGTATATGATAAGTCACACATTTTAAAATTAATATACTCATCAATGTATTTATTAGTTTTATTTAATGTGACCTAGACTAAATAACACAGTTGGTACAAACCTTTAACACATCTTTAGTTGGGAGTAGTTATATTAGTTCTATTCAAGAGCCTATAGATTATTTTCAGATCTATGTTTTAATGTTGTTTATTCATCACAAACATCCCTGGACTTGTGTTTTGTTTCATTCACTTAAAACTTAACTTAAAGCTCACAAGAGTATTTTTTTTTCTCAATATACAGAACCTTTAAGCATACTTGAACTACAAATTGTTGTTGGTACAAATTCAACTTTTACTATTTTTTAGCCTTATTGTGGTATTTCTTTGATGTTTTTGCCTCTCCTCTCTGGTGACAAAAGCAGCTGGATGCGTTTGTTGTTTATTTTTATTTATTTTTTTCCAAATTTGGCCTGAAGGAGGATTGTGAAAATTTAAAGAAGACATTTTACAGAAGAAAGCACAAACTGGGATGGATGAAGGGTGATGAAAAATGAGGGGGAAAAAATACAGCTGAATTTAAGCAGAGTATAGTTGCAAAATGTGTGATAAGCTCCCAGCATGAGGTAAACCAAACACCAATACAATTCAGATATACAGAATTAAAGAGAGGGATATTTTGGCTGTTTCTCACTGGATAAACGCAGGAGTGAGAATACTATTACTTTAAAGGTACACTCTGTAACTTTTCTGATAGAGAATGTGCCACCTGCTTGTCTCCAAGGAGATGTTACTGCTTTGTCTGGACAGTCCTGGCATGACATTATATTACAAATCTGTCTTGTATTTACTCAAGAACATTCTTTCTGAGTGGGCTCTCCTCTCCACAGATCTGTCATGTAACTTGACCCTGTGGTGTCACCTGCTGTTTCCGTAGAGATGCCATACTACCAGAAAAGTTACACAGTGCACCTTCAAAATAATATTAGTAGTTATTATAAGTTAAAGCTGCACTCTGTAACTTTTCTGTTAGGGTTTTGGCCATCTGCTCGTCTCCATGGAGATGTTATTGCTTTGCCTGGAATCTACAGTGAAAAAAATGGAAGACTTTACACGACTATTGCAGCACTTTAAGTCACTCTCAGAAGATGCTGAACTTTTGTGCAGTATACGGACGGAACCAGGACTAAACCAGAACTGACCCAGGACTAAACCAGAACTGACCCAGGACTAAACCAGGTCTAAACCTGGACTAAACTAGGTCTAAACCGGGTCTAAACCAGAACTGAACCAGAACTGAACCAGGACTAAACCAGGTCTGGTCTAAACCAGGACTCAACCAGGACTAAACTAGGACTAAACTAGATCTAAACCTGGGCTAAACCAGGACCAAACCAGGAGTAATCTTGAACTAGGGCTTGGAATCTAGGACTGCCGCTGACAGAACCCCGAGCCCATGAACAGGGTGTTCGCAAAGTGTGATTGGGCATTGGCTGTGTTTAGCCTTGTTCTTTCGCCCGCTGTTACCCGATGGTGAAGAAAGAAGAAAAACGAAAAAACCCACCACTTCAATCCAGGATAAAAAACCTTGTAACACGTGTTACTGACATTTATACTGAGTAAAATGTTAAAATTTTTCCCCCTATAATGCCTTACATTATTGCGTTACAGCAAAAAGCAATGTATTACAGTAATTTTATACTTTTATAATGCTTTACTCTCAACACTGATCATTTACTTGTTTCCACTGAGGTAAGAAATTGTGGAATGTTCCAGGCAAAAACTAAAAAGTTACTGTCAAAAAAGTTACACAAAAAGGTGCACTGTGTAACTTTTCCAGTGGAGGGTCCATCTAATGCTTTTCTTTATGGAGATGTTATTGCTTTGTCTGCAATGTTTCACAGTATGACATTAAACCTTTCTATCTTCATGAACACCAAACCAGAACCAAGTGATCTGTCAGATCTGTGGAGAGGCAACACCGCTCACAGTCAGAATGTCTGTTTTTCTAGGTATTTTTGAACTATAAAATCACCTGTAATTGAATAAATGTAAAGTACAGTTGTTTAATGTCATACTGTGGAATATTCCAGGCAGAGCAATGACATCTCCATATTGCACTTTAAATTAAAAAGTTGCAACCCACATATGTTGTCTAATAAAAATAAAAATTATTTGGTGTACAGTTTCTTTGCCAAGTTGTAAATATAACGATTACTAGCCACTCCACACTCCACATATTTCCCACAAGGCAAAGCAGCAGCAGTGTCTCCAAAGTGCATTTCAGTGTCGATTAATTTTATTTTTGTTTTTTGTTGTTACCGAGGGAGACGCGGGCCGGCACTGCTCGGCGGTCGATCCAAAAGGACACCCAGGACAGCATGACCATGAGCGTGGCTGGAAAGTACGTCTGCAGCAGGAAGAAGAAGATGTGGCGCCGAAGAGTGAAATTTATGTACAGACGGTTGTACCAGCCTGAAACACACAGAATAAAAGATAAGTGAAGTGTCTTGCCAAGGGACACAACAACAGTATGTGAAAATGTATATTAAAATAGATTTTTGTTGTAATACAGCAAGTACTAGGATCTAGACGCTTGTACCAGCCTGCAAGACACAGAGACGTGGATCTGGTTAGGAAAGATCATCAAATAATGTCAATCATCAAATAAAATATAGGGAGAAGTGTCTTGCCTAAGGACACAACAACAGTATAACAAGGTTTCAGATGGCATCACAACATTCTATAGGCCTTTAATATTTAATAAAGGGATCTGTTTATGTACAGATGATTGTACCAGCGTGAAACACACAGAGACATGGATTTGGTTAGGAAACGAGATGACCAAATATTATCAAGATGGGTGAAGTGTCTTGCCTAAGGACACAACAACAGTATTGCTGGATTTTCAGTTAGCATTACACAACATTTTATAGGCCTCTTGGCAATGAAAATGTATATTAAGATGCAAATTTTTGCCGCAATATAGTAAGTACTAACATCTATTTAACTAATAATCATTTTCAACATTTGTGTATTTAACATTTCAATATTTGTAACAAAAATAGAAAAAGTGATCTATACGGAAAAATAAAAATAGTCCCCCATGTAGAAGTATGACATCATCACATTCTTAAAAATAAATAAATTATTGCTTCAGTTGATATAAAAATATTTTGTAGTTGAAATTTTCTCCAAATCAATACGTAATGAAAAAACAACAAGTAATTTCACACTTTTTAAGGCTACGTTTATATGATGACGTTCTGAACAGAAGACGCAAAAGTGGCGTTGCGTCTTCTGGAATTTGACTGGGTATGTATGCCAGGCACATATGTGTCCTTGACGTGAGCAGATCTGACCAGAGTTTTGCGTCTTGGGCAGTGTAGATGGGAACGCTACGGCAGAGCGTATTCAACTTTTCCACTCTGGAGGGTGGTTTCAGATTTTTCATTTTTAAATGAAAGGTACTTCCGGTAAAATATTTTGTCATTTTTACCCGCAAGCGTTCTCATGTAAACAGGTCCTGAGTCCGTAAGCCATCATCTGTAGTACTGGTCCATCAGGCCTGGTTTAGTCCTGTTTAGTCCTGATTTAGTTAGCGTTTAGTTCTGGTTTAGACCTGTTTAGTCCTGGTTTAGTCCTGGTTCAGTTCTTGTTTAGTCCTGTTTAGTCCTGGTTTTATCCTGGTCCTGATTCAGTCCCAGTTCAGTCCTGATTCAGTCCCGGTTCAGTCCTGTTTAGTCCTGGTTTAGTCCTGGTTCAGTCCTTGTTTAGTCTTGTTCAATCCCGGTTTAGTCCTGGTTTAGTCCTGGTTCAGTCCATGTGAGTGCCTCTGTCTTTTATTATATTTCTCCTCGAGGTTGCTCTTTTCCCACTGAGTTTGTGGCTCTGGGGCACTTTCCCATTTGCTTGTTTCCTGTGAGTATAGGCCTGTCTCTTATTGACCAGTGACTGTTTTTTTCTCACTTTCTGTTGGTTAAATCAACAGTTTTGTGAAGCCCCATGTGGAGACTGCTGTTGTGATTCTGGCCTATCCAAAAATACGCCGAATTCAATTATTGTGAACACATAGATGTCTACAGAGGGCACTCTAATCCTAATTAAATCCAATGGAAACACAGGGTGTTGTCCAAATATAGGCATTATTTGAAAGGGCCCATATTACGCTATTTTCTGAGATTCACAACATTAATGCATTTTGTGTAATATAGAACTTTTAAATTTAATACCAAGGTGACCCAAAGCATGTTTAAAAGCCTCTGGACAAAACAATACATGATAACCTGTACCATGTGCAAAGTTTACTGGACATAAAAGAGAAGTTATATTTGAAATAATGAGTTCGATGGTGGTATTTGATAAAGAATTCAGACATTTTGGAGTCACCAGAGCAGGTTATTTTATCGGAGTGTCTTTTATCTTAAAGTTTCAAAAGAAGTTTTCAAATGTCGCAATTGAAATTCCTTTATTCTCTTTTTGATCATCTTCTTGTCCAACACACAGAGCAAAATGAAGCTTCAAGGCAGGATTTTCAGACACAAGGTTTAGGCTGGACTGCGAAACACTAAAAATGAACACACAAAGCAATAGTTTTGGTGATGGTAATACTGGAATGTATTCTGAATCTTTTAGTATATGTCTAAATGTGGAATTAGTTTTCATCCAAATTGCCCATAGCTGTTGTTTGATCACACTATATTACACACTGACTGACTGACACCTGTGAGCTTTAAGCCATGTTATAATGTTATAGATCAGAAAATAATGTTTTATAGACTCTTTAAGATGGAGATGCTATTGCTTTGCCTGGAATATTTCCACAGTATGGCATTAAACTTATCTATTTCCATGTAAACAAGCAAATGAACCACCAAGGCCAAATTACAATTCTGCCGTTGCCTTGTCGCCCTCGTTTTTGATTTATGGATCTGCGCCCAGGTCTATGCGCCGCAAAATAATTCACCGCCACAACACCAGGAGGCTCAGATTTAAAAATGGTGTCCGTGTTTACAAAATGAAGCGGGAAAGCGAAGTACCAGAAATGTATGTAGAGGACCAATCACAGCCTTTATCTTCTGCATCACTTTCCCTTGCTGTCTGCATTGGTTCAACACGTAGTTACAAAATTTCGGAGGTGCACATCGATCAACGCAAACAATTTGACACAACCATAAATTGGGCTTTACATTGTATATGCGTACACAGGCAATCCATGGATGTTTTTCAAGGGTCGTCTTTCAATCAAAACATGCAATAATAAATACAAGATATATTTAACATTCCAGGCAAAGCAATAACATTTCCATGGTGACAAGCAAATTGCAGGTCAGCTACTAGAAACATTACACAGTACACATTTAAAACTCTCAAATCAAGTGAATAAACCAGTGTATTTTTATTTCTTTGCTGTGAAATAGAATTATAGGGTCATTGCATCACAGTCTGTTGCATATTGACATGATATGGTATTAATGCTTTGTCAACAACTTTCACTTTGCACATTCACACACTTGTCCAGATCTTTGAAACCTGTTATTATGAACCACTCCAATGCAATCCAAGTTTGTTTCAATAACACACTTTATAAACTTTCCAAAGGGCTGCACATAACCGAACATAAAACAAACATTTGGTCTTAAAAGTAGAATTAAGTTCCCGAATAAAATAAACAAACAGTTCTAAGAGGAATACATACACTACCAGTCAAAAGTTTGGGCACTCCTTCTTTAACCTAAAAACTTGCTTTCTTACTGTGAAATGGGCTCGCCTCTCCTCAGGTCTGACTCGTAACTTGGCAATGTGGTGTCAACTGCTGTAAGGATAAACAGTGTAATGCCCTACTGTGGAACCAAGGGCGTAGGTTGAATAAGGACGGTGGGAACATGTCACAACCAATATCTGGGGAAGTCAAAATAGTCCCTACCAATATTTGCCATTTTATTTTAATAAACAAAAATATTAATTTATTCTGATATTTTTCCAAACTCAATACACATTTTAGTTCACATTTTGTTTCTTAGACCTTCTGAGATGTATTCAGTGATATGACGACAGGGTTGCTCCTTCTGCTATTTCATTGGCTGCAACAGAGTGATGTCATTAGTGGAGCCAGGAGCCTAAACTGGGGAAGCAGCAGGACAGGGCCAGCGCCTGAAGACGGCGGCTTGAGTAGACGTGAGTGAAGACTCTGTGCACCAAACTTTGAAAAACTCTTCAAAAGGAACTTACTTGGCTTCATCTTCAGCCAAGTAAGTTGCCTTATAATGAGTCGCAAAAAACAGCGGAAAAGAGTCAGAAAAAGAGCGACTATCACCACAAGTGCACCTCCCAAACTGACAAACTGACAATATTCCATGGAAAAATGTCTGGACATTACCTCACAAATATCTCCTCACCAACAAGCAAACGGAAATCTGCTACAAACTTTTACATCGCTGTTATCCGCAAAAGAATCATCTTAGAAGGACAATGGACACAAACTGTACATTTTGTGAACTGAAAAATGAAACCACCTCTCACTTATTTTGGACCTGCCCAGACTCTGTGTGTTTTTGGAAAGAATTCATAAAACATATACACAACTTCTTCTCCCATTTGACCCTTTCTTATAATAATGTGCTGTTTGGTTTTTGCACTGCGCATCATACAAGAAGTAAACAATATTATATAATTAATCTGTTAATCAAGTAACATATCAGTTTGTGTGGAACATTCCAAGCAATATCTCTGTTGAGGGGAGATGGTGACAGACCCTCTACCAGAAAAGTCACATAGTTCACCCTCGAGTTTACCACTTTAAACAATTTATGTACACAGAAGACATCAAATGTCAAAAGTGCAAAGCAGTGAGCAAAGCAAAGAGTTTGAAAGCTAGAGCAAGTTTTGTGTTATTCTGAGTTTATTTTTTCGTTTGCTACATCCCATATTTATCCATTCATAGTTGTGATGCTTTCAGTGAGAACTTACAATGTAAATAACTAAAAAAGAACCATAAATAAAAGAGTGTGCCCAAACTTTTGACTGGTAGAGTAGATAAAAACCGTCCTGGATGAATGAGATCACTTATGTACATGTATTTACAGTGGGTAGTATTGTAGTGTATTGTTTTCTGTAGTACCTGTGCTGCTGTAGAAGGCCAGTCTGGACGTAGTGTGGAACTTCTGAATGAGAAACTGAGAGAGAGATATTCTGTCATCTGTGCTCAGAGACTCATCTCCGCTCTTCCAGTACAACATCAGGTCCTCGTCCGTGTATGCATCTGGAAAACACACACACAAATACACACATTAACCGCGCAGAAAACACACACACATTTAATCACACAACCCTAAATGCTTTACAATTACTTCACTTATTCAAGATGATTCAGGTAGATTTATTGGTTCCCCATAGAAAAAAAAAAAAAAAAGTCTTCTGAATTTGACCGTTAATATAATTTGACTCATTCTCAAAAGGTGGTCTCTGTAACTTTTCTGGTACAGAATCCACCACATCCTTCTCTCTATGGAGGTGCTAATGCTTTGCCTAGAATGCTCCAAAGTACAGCATTAAACTTCTAAATTCTCACCATGGAGATTTGCAGGTGTTTCAATCAGGTTAAGTTACAAGGTTAGGTTTGAGAAGAAGTGACCCTGCTCACTGCAAGAATGCAATGTGTTTAAAGGTATTTTTGAGCATAAAAATACTTGGATAAATGCAAGGCTAGTTTAATGTTATACTGGGGAACATTCTGTGTAAAACATTAACATCTCCATGGAGACAAGGAAGTGAAAAATGACATGAAAGTCGATGAAGTCCGTGAAAGTACAACCAACATCCTTTGTCACTGAGCCCTCTACATTAGTCAGGCTGGTACCACCTAGTGCCTATGCTTAATTTCATTTCACTCCAGCGACTAATTCAGGAATCAAAATACACTAGACAGTTTACAAGACCTCGGAAACCGTAGACCACGCACCGGCCATTGACGTCAAACTCAAGCGCCTGTCTGGGTCCCTTTTGTGATACAGCACAGCAGTAAACAACGAGGTCAAGATGGATGTAAATGAAGACATACATCCTGTGTTGGCAACTATTCCCAAGATCGAGGATTTAAAGCCGGAACAAATAGACCGTTTGGTGAATTTTATCAAGAGGAAAGACATTATTACCCTTCTTCCTGCAGGATTTGGCGCATTACATACGTCACGACCAAATAGCAGCGACTGGTTAAATAAAAAATACTAGTAGCAAAGTAGTAGTAGCGAATGAATCCTAATGCTGCGAGGTCAGATGTTTTACCTCTACATCTCCAAAGCTCCAAATGCAATGTTCCACCTTGTCATGTCAAGTCATGTAGTGGTAGTTTTCAAGTTAACAGCTACCTTTTACCTTTAGTTCAGAAGAGATTGTCAATTCCAAATGATTCTAGTGAAGGTGTATGGAGTTTAAAAACACAGTGGAGCACTTCCTGTATGACCACATGACATCACACGGTGGAACAGAGAAGAACTCAGCCCAGATATGTAGCGTTTGAGTGTTAAAACTATGTGAAGGAAACAAAACGCAGCACCAGAAATCAGAAAAGAATATAATATGGATCTAAATCTTCCTGCCATTGGAGTCGTAATTTTGAAATAACTTGAGATAAGTAGGAGCAAACCCCACGGTGTTAATTTAGTATGAGAAACTGTTTAAATATCTTGAAAACGAGAATATAACAGATAATACATTCAAACCAGTTAGAACTACAAATGAATACTCTTAATTCGTTAAATACAACAAGCACTTTTAGTTTAATGTACGGCCCAGTTTGAATAGCTCATCACTGCATATTATCCAGCAGCAAAGAGGACCATTTGTATTTAAAATCACAAAGAATAAATTCAGCAGATCCTAATTAACCTATGCACATGCTCATTGACACTGTACTTTTTATTCAAATCTGAGTCTTCCATACAAATCTCCGTCATTATCTTACCATTATGTTATTTTCAATAGCTTTACAAGGCATATTCTGCTGTACAGTAGCATGGACACCATTTAGATAATGAGACAAAGTAATTATTTTAATAAGAAGAGCATTTTAGCTTTCGGCGACGATGAAGAATACTTTGAGAAGCTGTGGGAGTCCTTTTCGGGGCACAATTAGGACAAAAAAGAGGATTTTAAGTCTGAAAACTCCACAGCCAGAAGGGGGCAGAGCTCTTAATGCTTTGAGCACAGCAAGACATCCTGCCTTTGGGACCGAGGAAAACTTTTACAGAGAATATAAGTAACTGTTAAGTTTGGTGATCTGGCTGTGTTGAGAATAATAAAAATATACTTTCACAATATGTAGTTATAAGTTGGCAATACTTTGTTGGCATAAGAATACAATTTCAAACTTGACTTTGACACTAAGGAATAGACTCAATTCTCAATACCACATCCTGGATACCACAATGATACTTAAAGGTGCACTGTGGAACATTTCTAGTGGAGGGTCTGCCACATGCTTGTCGCCGTGGAAATGTTATTGCTTTGTCTAGAACATTGTTTCCCAAAGACTGGTGGGTAGCAAGAGATTTTTTGGGGGTCGCCTTGTCACGATCTGCATGTAGGTGACATGTTTTGTATAATTTCTAGTTTTTTTGTTATTATTTTATTGACAATTTTGTTCCAGAATTGCCGGTTCAATTGAATGTTGAAAAGAAAAAGAAATATTAAATTTAATGTCCAAATAGGCGACTTATGGATCCTTTTATTCCTGGTTCAATTCTCATTTTCATTGTTTAAAACTAATTGTTCAGACAGACACCATCACTCAATCAACAATAAAATATCCTCATTGATGTTCAATAATGGTCACACATTTATTTTGTGATTTTCAAATAATGCGCCTCTAAACCAGAACTAACACCAGGACTAAAACCAGGACTAACCCAGGACTAAACCAGGACTAAAGCAGGACTGAACCAGGTTTAAACTAGGACTAAACCACGACTAAACCAGAACTAAAGACCTGGTCTAGACCTGGTCTAAACCAGGTCTAAAATCAGGACTAAACCAGGACTAAACCAGGTCTAAACAACATGACACCTAACAGTAGGTTGACATAATTTAAGGTGATCTCATATAAAAAATAATTTCTCTATCAATAATATTTTTTAATCTGGTGAAGGAAAGGCTGATCTTGTTTCTGTCTTTTAACAGACAAAACCTCTTATATTAAGATATCGTGGTCTTTGTTTCTCTACAGCAAACAGTTGTTTATTCATGGAGACTTGGGCTCAGACAATTTGAAGACAACAAACAAGAATTTTCAGGATGTGGTTGCCACATTCATGTCGTTTAAAAAAACATGACAATATCAAGTAATCCAAAGTAATCAGATTACGTTACTCACTTTAAGTAATTTAATGGATTACGTTACAAACTACATTTTGGGGTGTGTAATCTGTAATCTGTAGGGGATTACATTTTAAAAGTAACCTTCCCAACACTGTTTATATTTCATGTACACAAGAAACAGATACAATTGTAGACAGGAGATATGTTGTGGATGCACGCAGGCAGGGGAAAGCAACTTGGGGGGGCCTCGCCGGTCCTAATTGTAAAGTGTGCCTGGACATGAATAGCGTCATAAATGTGTCTCTTGTGTTTTCAGGTGAGAAAAGAAGATTTAAGTGAATATTTATTTTGATAAACATAAGTTTATAAGTTAGATGTGCCCTATGTTGTGTGACCTAATTATAAAGTGTGCCTGGACATGAATAGCGTGATCATAAATGTGTCTCTTGTGTTTCAGTGCATACTGCATTAAATGGAAGTAAATATACACTCTCTGAAGCCTCTTTATCTGACCACAAGTGCTACATGTGTCCAAACTTTTGACCTCAAGAGACAGGGAAAGAACATGCAAACTCCTCACATTTCCGCAGCACCGCCTTGCCCAAAACTTGAAAACATAAATAATACTAATTGTTCAGAGAGAAACGATCACTCAGTCAACAATAAAGTATCCTCTTTAATGTTCAGTAACAGTCACAGATTTATTTTGTGATTTATGAATAATGTCTCTTGACTTAGGTTGCAAAGATATGTAACTTTTAAAATATGGGTCCCCAGAAAAAAACTTTGGGAAACACTGGTCTATGTGCTCTTACTTGTTCTGATACAGCTCAACATCATTCTAAATCTATTTCAGAAAGGCTCATTCCTGCCCTGTGAATGTGACGTTTTTTAGTATTGACACCAGCAAATGAGTATCTAGTTTTGATACTTGTTTTAGCATCGATTAGGATCTTATTTTCTATACTTTTGACAACCCTACTTGTAAAAACACAGCTACTCTCGTGAGATTTCAACCTTCTGCAAATCAAAACAACAAAGAAATAAACTCCTTGAAAAACAACATATACCCAACTCAGAAGTTCTGGTCTCCTACTGCGACTCAGAGCCTAATCCTGGTATGCCTTTTCCTTTGTAGATCCCTATCATCCTCGTTACTTAATTCCTAATAGCGTTGCCAAATCTTCCCCTCCAAACTGTTGACTCCACGCGAGCATTGGCTAGTTCACAGACAACTTAGTCTTAAGACATCACAGGACGAGGCGTAATCTTAAATTTATGGCCACGGTTTTTGAAAGGGCCCCTGGTGAAGAGAGCCGCTTCCTGGGAATACCTTTGATGTGAGTGAAATGGCGAATCCCTGAGTATGCGCGGAGGAGCTATCGTCTGTCCGCCCTCTGCATCCAAAACGCACAGCTGTCAATCAAACGCGGGGGCTGTCTTAAACTTTTCACACCGGCTATAGCCTCATGAGGAGATTTGGTATTCTGAATAAAAGCAAATTTAAATCGGGGTTATAACTGCAATAAAAACTACTCAATTGCTATAACACTTCTAATTCACGTCTAGTCTAAAGGAGGACAATAATGTGCAATATACTTTATTAATCAAAAGTCTGGACACACTTTTTCATCTATGCTTCTTTGTTATTTCCAAGATTATTTATACTGTAGATTCTCACTGAAGGCATCAAAACTATGAATGGACACATATGGGGTATAATAAAAACAAAAACAAACTCAAAATAACTCAAAACTTGATTCAGATTTAATGTTTTTTTATTTATTTATTTTTTTTTATAACCTGGTTCATGCCTTTAGCATTTCTCGACCCTGATAATGCACAGTTTAGAAGGGTTTGCAGAGCTGTTGACTATATAATTCCATATACAGTATGTTGTTACCATATATTTGATGTCTTGTGCGTATGTAAAATGTAGAAAACAGT